TCAGCTATCAAGGAGATTTGATATGAAGGATCTAGGAGAAGCGAGACAAATACTGGACATGAAAATAACGAGGGACATAAATGCTGGTAAACTTTGGCTTTCTCAATCTGATTATATTGAGAAGGTGTTGTGCAGATTCAAAATGGATATTGCAAAGCCGGTTGGAGTGCCACTGGGAAGCCAGTTCAAGTTGTCCAACAAGGATTCGCTCAAGGATGACTCTGAAAAGGAAAGGATGAGAATTACGCCTTATGCTTCCGCTATAGGGAGCCTGATGTACGCTATGGTCTGCACCCGACCAGACATAGCAGATGCAGTGGGAGTAGTCAACCGGTTCATGGGAAATCCTGGAGTGATGCACTGGGAGGCGGTAAAGTGGATCCTTAGGTACCTGAGGGGACTAAGGACCGGGCATTGGTATTTGGCAGGGGTACCCTTACCCTGTCTGGGTTTGTCGATGCTGATTTTGCAGGAAGTGATCTTGACAAGAGAAGAAGTACTACTGGTTACGTGTTCACTTATGGTGGGACGGCCGTATCCTGGATCTCAAAGCTGCAGAAGATAGTCACATTGTCCACAACGGAAGCTGAGTACGTGGCAGTGACAGAGGCAACCAAGGAGCTCGTTTGGCTGCAAAACTTCCTGAATGAACTTGGGAGACCTCAAGAGGATGTGACTCTATACAGCGATAGCCAGAGTGCAATCCATCTGGCAAAGAACCCCGCGTTTCACTCGCGAATAAAACACATTGAGGTTAAGTATCATTTCATCCGGCAACTTCTAGAGAAGAAGGTGTTGCAGCTGAAAAAGGTTCCGGGAGAGAGAAATCCTGCAGACATGTTGACCAAGACAGTAAGTTTGAAAAAGTTGAAGCTGTGTGTAGCTTCGACCGGCCTTGATGATTAAAACAGACAGACCCGGTAGAACCAGGAGCAAAGATGAACATGTTGATCAATCTTCAAGTTAGAGATAACAAAGGTGGTGACCATTGACAAACTGAAGTTGTGCTCAACTTCAGGTGGCTTACTAGAAGAATACCACTGCAGTAACTGAAGTTGAGCCCATTCCATTTCACAGCCCCAAGATGTTGAAATTGTGCAGCAGCCAGGCTGCTCATTTTATTCACAGTAATTAGTACACCAATGTGGAAAAATATGTGCACTCTTCTTCTATAAATAGCTAGCAATTCTGAGGAACATAACAACAGAGAGAGAGAGAGAGAGAAAAAAAAAAAGAGTAGAGAGAGTGTATTCATACGGGCTTGTGTGAGTTGTAACATTCAGTTTATCTTATTCTTCTAGTTCATTCTCCTGGCTTGGTTCGCCCCCAGACGTAGGATTTAATCCGA